GGCCTCGGCCCACCGTCTATATAGCACACGTGTGGGATATTCTTCACACTAACGCCTGTTTCACACACTACCGGTTAGCAGTGAGTGTTGTGGTTCGTATGCAGTGCAGGAGCTCATTGTGCTTCACATTAGACATGTTTGCAGTATGTTACTGATGCACACCATTAAATATAAACCGTGTAACTAGGGATGCATGATATATTGGCCACCATATCGGTATCAGCTGATAAATGGTAATTCATGTTATCGTAATTGATTCATTAAGGAAATTAAACAGTAAAGTGCAACATGTGCTGCGCAAATCTGTCATATAGGCTTCATTACATTATAATGAAAACACGACTGAAAAAGGATGTTGTGAATTCTGTGTTCGCCTGTGTTTTCGGAGGTTAGGTTAATAAGTAGTAAATTCTTTGGTTTATTTGCCGTGTTTCAACTCGTTTTTACAGGAAGAGCACACAACAGGAGTGTTTGGGATATGGCTTTTAATGGGGAGCCTTTTGTTTTTTGTAATAAGGCCCTTAAAGTATATAACATTTTGGATTTCGATTTTTCAGGCAATATATTGGTGATCGGCTTTCGATAAATGAAGACCAATGTGTTAACGTATTTATCTATTTACAATACAAATAGGCATAATTAGGCAAGAAAATAACTGAAAGTAATATCCATTTGCTAAACAAATTAAGTCAGCTAATTGAATTAATATTTTATATACCCAATATTTAAAAAATTAGAAATGCAATGAATATACAGGTATCGGTACTCCTTATCGGCAAGTACCAAAGGTTAAAGTATCAGTTTTCATATTATATTCTGGAAAAGAGTGGTATTGGGGCATCCCTACAGTTTCACAGACGAGACTTAAGCTAGTCCCAGTCTAAAATGCATGTTAGAGCTGTTTTAACTGAAAGCATATCTTAAAATGTCAATTCCATTGTTTTGTCTCAAGATTATTAAAAATGTGGATCTAGCTTATTGCTAGTCTCATATAGCCAACAAACTAATACATAGAACAACATTATAACTTTCAACACACTCAAATGCTGTTTAGTATGATAGTGTAACGTTAGACCAAGTTAAACCACACTGTGTTTTCTCTCAAGTTTAATTCGTCGAATAAACTGACCTGTGTGAGTAGCAATTCAGTACTTCAGGGTAGTTCGGTAGAATTAAAGAATCCTCATTCCTTTATATCCGCGGGACTCGCGTGTGGCGCTCATATCTGTCTCTATTTAGCAATCGTGACCTTGTGACAATCACACCACAGTCAAGTTAAAAACATCAATGTATTCACTCATCCATACACATTATTAGATTCATCGGCATGACGACAAGTTCCATTATTCCGCTTATTCACTGCGTCATCAACCTACGCCTTTGTTATTGTGAGAGGTTAGCGACCCCTAGCGGCGAAAAATAAATAAATAATGTAGCTTTAAAGGGGTCATGAACTGAGAATTCAAATTTTCCTTGATCTTTTGACTGTTAAGAGGTCGTTATACTATAAAAAAAATAAACTGTACATTTTGAAACTCAAAACTGCCTCATTATTTTAAAAACAGCTTTTATTGAAACCAAGGCTAGAAAACAACAGGATCTGAGAAGTGGAGACTTGTGACGTCACAGGGCAGCGAAAGACCGCCTTTGCAGAAGAATATCAACTCCTACGTCTACATCACCGCGTCTTTAGCACCGTCCACTGGAGCGTTAGTGAATAGTGACATGAGAACGAGTAAAGATCGACACAGGATCAATAATGCTTGGATAGTTTTTTATGTATGTTTAGACATTTCTCAAAAACAATTTTTTGTCAAGGTTTTGATTTGTTTTGTTTGAAATGTTGATTTGAAGTGTCCGTTTTTGCATTAATTTCACTACAGTCAAACCTGAATATACTATATGCACATACCAAGTGCCATAAAAGTCATCAAGTTTCGTACTAAAGTGACAAGCAAGCTAACTTTTTTACATACATTGAAGATATATTATATCCATATCATACATTTTTCATTGGGGGCCTAAAAAATTTAAAACATTTTAAAAACAACTTATTATTGTGTTATATATTTGACATATTTTGATAATGAAAACAATAGTACTAAATGTCACACAAAAGTAAATAGTTTTCGTAGAGTATGATTGTCTATTTGCCAGAGAAACTGGATTGCTCTCCCTCAATCATATTGCTTTTATAAGAAATCGCCCCTATTAGTCCGAAACTACAAAACAACAATAGAACCCATTATAATCATTGATACTGTCTACACTGAATGTGCCACAGTGCGACGAGTGACCAACAATAAACGGATAAACGTCCCGTTCTATTCCTTTCACGCTTCCAGTGCAGACACAGTCTCAAGCTGTTGCCACGCGCTTGCTGTACACTATATCACACGCCTTCTCACTGCCACGGAGTGAGACAGACAAGCAGCAAATTGTATTTCTCTTGGAATATATTATTACAGTATTTTAGTTGTGTTGCTCTTGACTTATAACCATTGCTGTAAACCTGTATCTTCCAGGCTCTCTTCAACAACAATGCAATCAGCCCTGTCACAAGAAGAGGAATAAGAAACATATAATAAAAGAAACACAGGAAAACAATAGCAACAAATTATGTCCCCTAGGACGTAAGAGCAATTAGAAAAATGTTAATACAAATAAAAACAAGACATGAAAACATGAGCATATTACTGGAAAAAATAACAATGCTAGATTACGATGTTTTAATGTTTAAAAAAAAAAAGATACTGACCATCTCAATAATAACCCCAGTCTCATAAACCCAGTCAATTATATCGGGCATGGCATTTGATCTGAAACCGTGAATAAACACCCTGCAGCGATTTGCAAGAGGGTCAATAAACTCAACCAAACGCATCCTATATTAGATTAATCTGATGTACTTATGACAACTTGCATATGCACAAAAGGACGCAAATGTGCATGTGAACTTCGCGTCCCATTGTGGATTTGCTCTTCCCTTAACAACAAGGCCTGTGGCAACTAATAATAATAATTCGTTACATTTATATAGCGCTTTTTCTGGGACCTCAAAGCGCTTCACATATGGAAGGGGGGAATCTCCTCAACCACCACCAATGTGCAGCATCCACCTGGATGATGCGACGGCAGCCATAGTGCGCCAGAACGCCCACCACACACCAGCTTATTGGTGGAGAGGAGACAGAGTGATGAAGCCAATTAGTATATAGGGATGATTAGGAGGTCATGATGGACAGAGGCCACTGGGCAAATTTGGCCAGGATGCCGGGGTTACACCCCTACTCTTTCGAAGGACATCCTGGGATTTTTAATGACCACAGAGAGTCAGGACCTCGGTTTAACGTCTCATCCGAAGGACGGTGCTCTTTGACAGTATAGTGTCCCCATCACTACACTGGGGCGTTAGGACCCACACAGACTACAGGGTGAGCACCCCCTGCTGGCCTCACTAACACCTCTTCCAGCAGCAACCTGGTTTTCTCAGGAGGTCTCCCATCCAGGTACTAACCAGGCTCAGCCCTGCTTAGCTTCAGTGGGCAACCAGTCTTGGGCTACAGGGTGATATGGCTGCTGGTAAACTAAAGCAAAAAGAATTTATAAAATTCTATTACAATCTTGTTCTCATTATAATGCTATGTATATGAAAGATTGGCGCTGCACATCTTGCACATAGCTTTATTTTTTGTGATTACAATCATCACTGTGCGTTTTCGAAGCCATAACGAGAAACAATTTTAAATAAAACTTAGGCCTACTGTTAAAAAAATATGAGAGCAAAATAACATTGCTGCATTATCAATATCATCAATGATTTTGAAAAAGAAATAGCCTGTCTAAAAAGAATACCACCAGAATACCACCACTCAAATAACCTATAGTCAATAATGTTGGGTATTGCAGTTCAGCTGAAACTGAAGAGTGAATAAACTCTGGTTGCTAAAGTGCTTTCAAAGCTGGTGTATACTCAACCAAACACGTCCATATAAGATTAGTCAGATATAGACAACATAAAAGTAATCTTACAACTTACATCTGTGCACGTAAACTTGACCGTGCTGATGTTCTTATTATAATGTTATTTATATGACAGATCGGTGCTGCACATCTTGCACTAACTGTATTTCATGATCTCAAAATGCCACAAAAACCAATCAGAAAAATAGACAAATGTATTTTTTAAAGACAGGGCAATCATCGTTTTCATGATGGATCATCGCTGTCATGTCCAAGTACTTCAGTACCTGGGCCCATCCCTAATTTATTAGCTGTTTAATGTTGATGATCGCGTTATTTTAAATATGCATCTGCTTGCATATATTGCTTGTTCCTAAGAGTAAATACACTCTGATAATTTGGAGAGTTTTGCAGTTTATTTAGGTTGTGAGGAATTATATCATGAAAAATAAGTAATAAAACCTAAAAAGCATAGGACCTAGTACTGAGCCCTGTGGCACTCCATACTTGTGTTTAATAAGGTGTCTTCATTCAGATAAAGTGGTAGTAGTCTGATATTTTATTAAGATATAAACCATACTAATTCTTGTCTTAGTGCATATCACCACCTATTGAGCTATTGTGAATTCAGAATTTATATTTATACATAAAATGTCCAGTAGCAAAAAAGGACAACCTTTTAAGATCAATGATGTAGAAAATTTTAGTTTTGAGATGTGACAAAATAAACATTGGTTTGTTGTAATAATGCTTCATAATTATAAATTGCATAAGTTTATACTATTGTGTTTTGAATATTCTGTGCTGTCGTGCCCACTGGAGCCTCATCAAAAGGGTACGAATACTTCTGAAGCTGAGAGACGTGTGAACTTGTCCTTATATACCCTGAAAGTTACAGTTTTTTGGAACAGTTTTTGATTCTAGCTAAATGTGTGTAGGATCTAGCACATTGGTTTTGATGCTTTACATATCTAAAAGTTTTGATATCTGTTGATTTGTGCCATTAAACTGGTGTTATGTGTCTTTTTTCACCTTAGACTTGGAGGCACTGAAAGAGGAGAGTCAAGAACTGAATGAATCCGAAGAAAAATACCAGATCAAGAAACATGATTTCACATCTGAAGAAGAACCTTTCAGTTGCTCACAGACTTTATCACGAAAAAAAGCTCAAAAGACTAAAGGTCATTTCACATGCCAACAGTGTGGAAAGACTTTCAATCAAAACAGAAACCTTAAAGTCCACATGAGAATTCACACTGGAGAAAAGCCATTTACTTGCCAACAGTGTGGAAAGAGTTTCACTCAAAAACCAAGTCTTAATGCCCACATGAGAGTTCACACGGGAGAGAACCCTTTCATCTGCCAACAATGTGGAAAAAGGTTCAATCGAAAAGGAAACCTAACAGTCCACTTGAGAGTTCACACTGGAGAAAGTCCATTCAACTGCCAACAGTGTGGAAAAACTTTCACTCAAAAAGGAAGCCTTAAAGTCCACATGAGGATTCACTCTGGAGAGAAGCCTTTCACCTGCCAACAATGTGGAAATGGTTTTATTCGAATAGCCAGCCTTAAAAGCCATATGAAAATTCACACTGGAGAGAAGCCTTTTACCTGCCCTCAATGTGGAAAGAGTTTTAAACATAAATCAACCCTTAATGCCCACATGAGAATTCACACTGGAGAGAAGCCGTTCATATGTGGTCAGTGTGGAAAGAGTTTCAGATTTACTGTAACCCTTAATCACCACATGAAGATTCACTCAAGAGAGAACTGTTTTATATGCCATCATTGTGGAAAAAGTTTCACAGACAGGAAACATCTTAGGAATCATGTAAAAATTCACATTGGAGAGAAGCCTCACATGTGCCTTCATTGTGGAAAGACTTGCAAAAACAAAGCAAACATTGAGGTTCACTTGAGAGTTCACACTGGAGAGAAGCCCTTCACCTGCCCTCAGTGTGGAAAGAGTTTCGCACTAAAAGGAAACCTTGAGGTTCATATTAGGCTTCACACTGGAGCGAAGCCTTACAAGTGTCTTCAGTGTGAAAAGAGTTTCACTTATCATAGAGACCTGAAATATCATTCCCAAACTCATTCTGGAAAGATATCACAAGGTTCTCAGAGTGGTACGAATTTAATCAAAGAGAGCAATTTCAAATCCTCTGGAGGAAAGCGATTTAATTGTGATCAGAGTAATAAAAAAATTATGTTATCACACTTACAGATACACATGAAAATCCATGCAAATGTGAGACCATATTCTTGTTCTCTTTGTAGAAAGAGTTTTAAATGGCCCAGCAGTTTACAATGGCACCAGAAAATCTGTGTGAAATCAAAGATCCGTTCGCACCGGAGTTGAATGTGGCCAAAATTATATAGATATATATTTGTAGGCTTACCTTTTAAATGTGGCTCATGTCAGATCGTTGTCTGAATAGGTGACATTCCTACGAGACTTAATTTTCAAGTGATTTAACTGTTATTTTAGTTGCTGCATCCTTTTTTCTTGCCATGTAGAGTGCATCCGTAAAGTATTCACAGTGCTTCACTTTTTTTCACATTTTGTTATGTTACAGCTTTATTCCAAAATGGATTAAAAAATTAATTATTTTCCTCAAAATTATACAAACAATACCCCTTAATGACAATGTGAAAGACATTTGTTTTAAATCTTTGAAAGTGTATAAAAATAAAAAATGAAAAAAATCACATGTACCCAAGTATTCACATCCTTTGCTCAATACTTTTTTGAAGCACATTTGGCACCAATAACAGCCTCAAGTCTTTTTGAGTATGATGCTACAAGCTTTTCACACCTATTTTTGGGCAGTTTCTCCTATTCTTCTTTGCAGAACCTCTCAAGCTCCAACAGGTTGTATGAGGAGCGTCATTGCACAGCCATTTTCAGATCTCTCCAGAGATGTTCAATCGGGTTCAAGTCTGGGCTCTGGCTGGGCCACTCAAGGACATTCACAGAGTTGTCCCGTAGCCACTCCTTTGTTATCATGGCTGTGTGCTTAGGGTCGTTGTCCTGTTGGAAGATGAATCGTCGCCCCAGTCTGAGGTCCACAGCACTCAAGAGCAGGTTTTTATCAAGGATGTCTCTGTACATTGCTGCATTCATCTTTCCCTTGATCCTGACTAGTCTTCCAGTTCCTGCCACTGAAAAACATCCCTACAGCATGATGCTGCCACCCCCATGCTTCACTGTAGGGATGGTATTGCCCAGGGGATGACCGTTCCTGGTTTCCTCCAGACATGACGCTTGCCATTTAGGCCAAAGAGTTTAATCTTTGTTTCTAATGGTCTGAGAGTCCTTCAGGTGCCTTTTGGCAAACTCCAGGTGGGCTGTCATTTGCCTTTAACTGAGGAATGGCTTCCATCTGGCCACTCTACCATACAGGCCTGATTGGTGTGCAGAGATGGTTGTTCTTCTGGAAGGTTCTCCTCTCTCCACAGAGAAACGCAGGAGCTCTGTCAGAGTGACCATCGGGTTCTTGGTGACTAAGGTCCTTCTCCACCGATCGCTCAGTTTGGCTGGGCGGCCAGCTCTAGGAAGGGTCCTGCTGGTTCCAAACTTCTCCCATTTACGGATGATGGAGGCCACTGTGCTCATTGGGACCTTCAATGCTGCAGAAATTGGTCTGTACCCTTCTCCAGATCTGTGCCTCGATACAATCCTTTCTCGGAGGTCTACAGACAATTCCTTGGACTTCATGGCATGGTTTTTGCTCTGACATGCACTTCTAACTGCACTGAAAAAAATTTGGAGTGACATTTACTTAAAAAAAAAGCTAGGCAACTTTTTGCACACAGAGAGTGCTTGTAATCTTTACTCGGGCTATTTCTAAGTAATATTTACTTACTAGAACCACTTATTTTTTATGTAAAATACACAAGTAAATTGCACTGGCAATACTCATCTATAGATTGTAACTTTCACTCAGATTACCATTGCATCCAATTACAAAACCCAAGTGAACATTGCTGATAGTTCTTTTTGTTTCTTAATCATCTTTTCTTTGTTATATTCTATGTAATTATTAAGTATTATTTATTATGAATGTACTAGTTAATATTAATCGAATTAAGTAAATATTTTAATTATTCTATTAAATAATAATTCAATATTTTCCAAAACAAATATTTGCAGCTTAAGGGACACTTTTATTTCACAGTCGAAATGGTTTAGATATATTTAAAATATCTACATAACATTATAACCACAAAAACATGGCCATAGAACTTCTTGCTCGCAAATTTCAGTGCATATATACATATACCAGACTGATCTCATGAAATGGCGTATGTATGACACGCCAATTCGTATTTCCATTTTTGGCGTGCTATCAACACGCATAATCGCTCTTTAGCGTGTTTATCAACGCCGTTGACTTAATGTACATTACTGTATATATAAATATATGACCTACCCCAACCCCGTCCCTAAACCTACCCGTCACTGGGGTTAATACCATTTATGAGTCTTCCCCTACCATCCTAGGAAAAAAAATATCGCTCCCAGATGTAGATCTACATTTTGCTTCGTTTCGCTCGGACATTTAACGGCGTAGACATACACGCAAAAGATGACGGTTCATTTCGGCGTGGACATACACGCGGATAGCTCAAAATGCGTAAAGATAACACGCCACTTGACTTGAAAGTGGCGTGTATGTTTACGCAAAAGTCATGATGTCATGTTGGATAGAGTCTATACAAAAGTAAAGCAGTATAGAATTTGAAAAATTAAATGTGGAATAACAAAGCACCAACTGACATTAGGACTGATATTCCAGCATACAAAGGAATACATTGTTAAGAGTTGACTTTTCCCTTCCAATTCTGTAATTCCATCAATTGGGCTCTATTACAAACAAGTTTCAACCAATCAGATAGCTGGCCTTAGCATGGGAAAAAACATGCTATTCAAAAACTCAGCGTGCACTGTCCCCTTTCTTCTAATCAACTTTCAGAACAGTAAAGAATACATACATAAACTCTGACCATTAACAGTTGCAATCACTACCTTTGCAGACATTCTCAGAACGTTCAGGACAGAAAGAACTTGTATAAAACTGAGCAACACTTGAAATCACTGTCAGAAAACAGACACAAAATGCAAACAAATTGTTTGTGCTGGACAAAGGCACAAATAACACTGGCAAGTTTCTTGTGGAGAGACTGGACATTTGCTGACATTCTCAGGTGATCAGAACAAACAGCTTATATAAAACTGACCAACACTTGAAATCACTGACAAAATCTAAAGAGATTGTTTGTGCTGGACAAAAGCACAAATAACACTGGCACACTCACGCTAAAAGTTTCTTGTGGAGAGACTGGACCTTTGGTGACATTTTAAGGATGTCAAGCTGAAGAAACCGCTTCTGAAATACTTCAAACGTATATTTCAGTTTCAGTGGGTAACTTAAGTTGACGGCATAGATGACACCCATGAGCAGGAGGCAAGTGTTTGTCACACTTCCGCAGTCCTCCACAACTTCTGTCCCCTCTATGATGACTGACACGTTCACGGGAACTTGGTTTTCCTGTGCCACATTGGGATGGATGACGATGATCTTCATCATGTGATTACTGCAGTCCTCTTTCAATGCTTCTTGGCTGATGTCCTGTGAAAACAAACAAACCACAATTAGAAATAACTAAGAATAGATTCCAAGTAAAAGAAAAGGTTAAGAGAAAAATATTTGAAAATAAAAACAAAGAGGTATACTTAATTTAGTATACTCAAATCAATATTCATATGGCACTTTTCATACGTAAAGAACGTGCTTCACAGAGGCTGACCCTGCAACATGACATTATGACTTTTGCGTAAACATACACGCCACTTTCAAGTCAAGTGGCGTGTTATCTATACGCATTTTGAGCTATCCGCGTGTATGTCCATGCCGAAACGTACCGTCATCTTTTGCGTGTATGTCTACGCCGTTAAATGTCCGAGTGATTCCGCGTGTATGTACACGCCGTTAAATGTACGAGCGAAACGAAGCAAAATGTAGATCTACATCTGGGGAGCGATATTTTTTTTCCCTAGGATGGTAGGGGAAGACTCATAAATGGTATTAACCCCAGTGACGGGTAGGTTTAGGGACGGGGTTGGGGTAGGTCATATATTTATATATACAGTAATGTACGTTAAAGGGGTTAGTTCACCCAAAAATGAAAATTCTGTCAGTAATTACTCACCCTCATGTTGTTCCAACCCCGTAAGACCTTCGTTCATCTTCGGAACACGAATTAAGATATTTTTGATGAAATCTGAGAGCTGGATCACTCCTCCATAGGCTTCTTCAGGGATTGAACTTGCCGGCCTCAAAGTTATTAAAGACATCGTTAAAATAGTCCAATTGACTACAGTGGCTCAATCTTAAGTTTATCAAGCGACGAGAATACTTTTTGTGCGCAAAAACAAACAAAAATAACGACTTTATTTCAACTATTCATTTCCTTCTCTTTGGGCCTTTAGTCAGTTAACGTAGTGTGATTCCGTAGAGCTACGTCACACGTAGGCTCACTATTGGCCGATGCTGGTCATGTGCGTGATGCGTGTGATGTACAACAACAGAAGCTTACGCTATTACACTTGTGAATATATATTTAATATATTATATATGTAATTTTTTTTTTTTTTTTTTTTGACGTTAGTTAACCTGTTAACCGTCACCAGTGCGTGGGCGCTCTGAAGCGTTTTTTTTTTAAATAGTTCAAAGTTACTATCATATTTAATGTGATTAACTTGACAAACTATACATCATTAAAACGATATAAGACTCAAGTTTCAGTATTTGACCACTATTGTATTCTGTGAAACTTATAGTGACAGTTATGTCTTAATTTGTGTCAGGAGTTATGAAATAAAAAAATGAGTCGTTACCTTTAATATGAATTATGAGCGTCAGCTGCTCTCATTCAGAAAAAAACTCCCGTGCGATCGTCATGACAGCGATTCACAAAACAATGTCCCTCAGGGCTTTTAGCTCAAACATGTGCAGATTTGGAGAAATATTGATAGATTCTCATAGGTTTACATCAGACTTCTATAGACAGGAATAATATTTATTGAATTTATACCCAAATGCGTCGATGTAATCATTTTGAGCGCTGTATACTCTGATGTACAGTTGTGTTATCCATTCATACTAACAGTCTGGGGCGCTGTTTGCACAGTAAAGTCCATATATGGATCACATGAAGAAGAGCCATAATCATGTGACATTCAGGAAGTCCTGACACATAAACAAAGCTATCCGAGATCGCTGTAAAGTGCAGATAAAGATGTTTTGAAGACAATAAACATGATTGCAATGATATTTGATTTACCTGTGTTCTTCGAGTCATGTCAGGTATTTTCATAATAATAGATTATATGTATAATGTTGCTAATCGAGATAGACTTTCAAATTGTGCAGAATACAATAAAGTAATATATTTTC